GAAGACGAATAAAAAGAGAAAAAGTGGACACGTATTTACTTTGCCGGAGCGCTCTCGCGCGCTCTGCTCACCGGAGGAGCTCTTGGCTCCTGGCTCCTCGTCTCCGTCCTCCATGTGCCAACTAACTTTCTACTTAAAGAGCGACAGCCCGATTCACCGGTACCGACCCCCCTTATGCTTATGGAAAATGCGTTTTGCGCTTCGAAACTAAGTTTAATCCTAGCTACCGAACCAGATCTTACGAGTCCTCTTCTTCCCGTTCCCCTGAATATAAGAGGGAACTTCAGCAGCATTGGAATTACCAGAGGAATTCCAATGCAGAGGCAGATTTAAATAAAAAAAAAACAAGGAGCAGTTTTTCCGTCGTGTACATGGTATTCTGGAAACGAAAGAGAATAAACTTGATTTAGGTGATGATAGTGGAACAACTCTACAACAGTATTGCGTGGTAATTTTTAATTTTTCTGCAAACGTCAGCAATTACATCAATAAAGTGGAGAAGTCCAATCGATAAAATCTTTGTCACACTGAAAATCATAATATTCGGAAATTCTCCGAATTGAAACAGATGTCAGTTGTTTTTTAATATCGTCAAATTAGGCCACAATATACGTTTGACTCAGTTTCAGAAAAAATGAAAGAAAGCAAATGGTGGAGCGAAAACTTTCTAACGTTTCATTACAATCAGGAGAAACAAAATGGAATTTGAAAGAGTCCTTCGTTGGAGTAGTGTTTCCATCCCTAGGATTGTTTTACACTGGGAACATGAACTTGTTATTAGTATCACGTGAATTACATTTGCGCAAAGTTTAAAATTTTTTTTTTACTTTTACTCGCGAGTTGGACACTTTTCTCTTTTATCTAGCCCCGGAGGGGCTATCCTGTTCCTTCAGATCCCGCGGACGTGCAAAGTTAAATCACGGATCGGATGTAAAGTCATAAGCGTGGAAACTTTTTGCTGTGTAGGTCCTGCAAGAAATCGCCGCTCTTCTGCCGCGGGAGGAGCAAGTGGTCGTGTTGGACATGGTGCAACGCGTGGCCAGAGAATCCTCTCGTCGCTCGAGGAAGACCACCTGCGCGTACACGTCCAATTCACCGAGGCAAGTGTACAGGCCGAGGTACGATTTCGTCTTCTCCAAGAAGAGATGCTTGCTTTTAAAGAGTCGTTAACGGAGGCACGGTACCCTCTGGCCGGTCCTCGATGCATAATGGATTCGCTTTTGTTCGCCGCAGACCGGAGTCGAATCTGTTGGATTCATCTGTGCAATCATCACCAGGAATTCGCGAGCAGCGAATCATCGCGGAGCATCAGAGGCAGCTGGAGAAAGAGATACAGGAGATACACGACACTCTGAGGCGTAACGCGTTGAGAAGACGACGTCCGTGCAACGTCTGGGACTCGAACTCGCTGTCCTCTTGGAATTCCTCGATCGATTCTATCGCCGGAACGATCAGCCTCCGGAGGTATCGCGCTCCAATATGGGACGCTATCAAAGGTTATTTTATTTGTACGTTCAGTAGTTCACGAAAGTATTTCAGACATCCGTAGAAACGTTTCGCGTATATATTAACTTCAATTTTATTGATTTATTTATACGGGATAACAGTTTTCTTTGGCACAGAGATGTACGATACAATAGGGAGACAAACATTGCAGAGGACGCAAGCAAAAATGAATGAAATAAAAATTGGTGGATACGGAAAATCAGTAAACTGAGGAATTAAATATAGAAACTAAGCAATAATTCATCATAATATTTATCAATATCTTGAAATTTCGCAAAATTGTGAAATATATTATGTGTAAAGACATCGTGATGAAAAAGTATTATAAATCTATCTTTCATAGTCACAAATAGAATTTAATAGTATAAATTGATGGAAAAGGATCGGAAATGAAATACTGTTTTAATGCAACGTTGGTCTTTAATGATATTAAATTATCCTCGTAATTGGATTAATTTAATAGTCCAAGCATGTTATTTTTGAACGACGTAAAAGAGAAGCGGAGAAAAAGTTCAAGGCGAGGGTTGTTTAAATAAATCTGCTTGTGGAGAAATCCTGCTAATCGGATCAGAGGAGAAAAAATCTGTGTTTTATGAAATTTCTTTATCGCTGAGCTATGAGACCCAATTATCGTTATTAAATAATCGATTTATTTAAAGATTTACTGATAACGTAATATATTCACGAAAAATTTCTGCAGGTGATCAAAATACTTTCGCCAGCCATCGTGTTTACGATCAATCCGTTTATCTTCTATAAAATCAATTATTTTATCCCCGACTCCTGCGATAACCCACTTCGTTTACGCTCACCTCGTTTACTTTCGATTGCTTAATACGATCGTGGCGCACAATTTACCAGCGGCGCGAGGCTCGTTCTTTCTTTCTTTTTTTATTTTTTTTCGCCTGAACGAAACCTGGTAACACCGTGCAAACAATACGGCGATCGATTTTTTCAATTTCAGGAAGTTCGCCGGCTGGCTCCAGCCTGCGCGCCGACGGTAATATCGAGAAAAATAAATTCGACGAGATGATCAGCCGAGAGGAGTCGCCGACGTGGAGCACGCAGGACGCTCGAAGGAAGTTGGACCACTCCGAGTCGAAGAATGGAGACGAATTGCCATCTTGGGACACGCTCGAGGCGACTCTGAATAGGAGGCTGTGTAATTACGGCAACGCCCCGTTAGAATCTCCGGAAACGGACGAAAGTATTGGAAGAAACTGCGTGGCCAAGCCGCGCGAATGATTTCCTCCGTGGTGGTAGTTAGGTGCTCGTAGGGGAAATGAATTTTTCATTTCTCGAGGCGGTGTAAGTCGTTGGAAATTGTCTAGGTGGGAACGCGTTTTATGTTTCAGCGTGTAGGATCGTTCGATGCAGACGCTCCTGTTTCGGATACGTCGTGTTTAAGATACACGCTCATCGATTCTGACACTTGGCCGACATTTTCGAGCTGTTGAAGCGCGCGAGTGAATAGCTCGCGACACGACTTCTCCGGTGCTTTTGCAACCGTCAAATAAATGTTTCCCCTGGATGATATTTAGAATACGCTGGTAGTATGTATCGAGCTTTGTCGCTTGTTCGGCTTTTCGGTGAAACTTTCGATGGAAACTTAATTCTCGCAGACAACAGGGTTACTTCACGCTTCGAGAGTGCCTCTCGACGTTGACTTGTAGGTATATAATGATTATAGAGAGAGAGAGAGAGAGAGAGAGAGAGAGAGAGAGAGAGAGAGAGAGAGAGAGAGAGAGAGAGAGAGAGAAGCCTTCGTAAAACTCGATAAATGTGAAGGTACACGAGCAAACGGGGCGTCGATTTAAATTTTAATTTAACGTCTGGAAACGATTGCGTTCGTTCATCTCCTGCCACTTTTCGTTCGGGGCTCTTCGTTAATTAAGGGAAACCGCAGGCTGCTTGGAATTCCCCGCTAGCGACCTGGGTTAACGTCGACTGATTTTGGCAAATTCGACGAAAGTAAAATCTCCTCGCAACATAGGCCACCCTTCCTTTCTATACTTTCATCAATCTTCACCACCTACGGCTACACTCTGTGACCGTACATTTTTATTAAGGATCCCTGGTACGGGGCTCCAGCAAGGTTTCTTCTCGGAGAAGCCTTCTTGTGTACGCCGCGACCTTTTCCTCAGCTTTCATCTAACGTCCAAACTTCCGTGTTCCTTAAATTGCGAAAAGATGTAACGCTAAGATTATTCAATCGTACGCCGTTTCATACGATATACACCGAAAATAGAAAATAAAACTTCGTCTCGTGACGCGCTGCTGTTGATACCCTCCTCTCGTTTAGGAGCTTAGAAATATTGTGTATGTAAGAGTGTGTATGAGGCAGTTTCTCGTGAAAAAGTAAGGATTAAATGTAGAATGAAATTTTGGAGTGTAGTGAAAATCGAGATTTATAAATGGAATAAAAATGGAAAATTTATCAAGTACACTTGAACTTGGTTAGGTCAGGAACGAATGATCGAAAATGTGAAAACAACTCGGAAAATACGAAATGAAACTTTTTCGTCAAATGCCTTGTTGAATATTACTTGAATGTTACTGACCAGAAATATACAAGTTCTGTAATACGTATATGCGTATATTAACTTTGTTTTCTCGAAAATAAGTTTTGAATGAGAAAATGTTATCCCATATTATTTTCTCGTCTTTCTGCGAGAAATTACCTAGTGTCAGCTTGTACGTACATATTTTACGCGCGCTCGTGTATAAAAAAAACAAGAACATGTTTTGTAACATGTAACATCCGGAAATTCCCTAAACAAAAATATATATATTAAAGACGTATTAAGAGACATGTATGATGTAGAAAAAGACACGCGCGCATTGTAGCATATAGGTTAATTTAAATTCTCATAGAGAATTACTGCATATTTAGTTTCTAGTTTTTCGTAGGGAATTTAGTCACATGTGCTGGAAGTCGTTTCTAATCGTTCTTTCGAAACGATATATACAAGAAAGTCCGCGTTGATGTTGGTCAGCGATTTAACGCGAATTCGGGGAACGCGCGAGGATCGAGAGTAATTGGAAGTAGACAGAGGGATTCGATTAACCGAATGTAAAAAAGCACAGGCTTGCCAACGGTCTCGTAATTGCCAATTAAAGTCGTTGCAATGAGCAACATTGTTCGAGCACTATCGACAAGTCATTGAGTTTCACCCACGTGAGCTCTAATCCCGTGAATTTCACTGATCCGAAAAGCCTCCACTTTGTTGTATTATTCTTTCCTCTCTCACTCTTTTTTTTCACGAATTGCAGGCATTGTGCGCAAATCCAAAGTATCAAAATCGTAATTGCGAACACTCGGGTATACTGGTCACGTCGGTTTTCTCGTTACGGGAGCGTTTAACATCTGCGCGAGCTAATCTTTCGTTACTTTCCTCCTCTTGCAATGGTACTCGTGAAAATTTACAAACGGAGCACCTCCGAGAAATAACTTTGGATCAATTCTCGATCCAACTACACTCTCAAATTGACTTCAACTCGTCCCTCTATCTAGACCACTTCCTAATTGGCGAATCGATAAGTCGAGCGCGCGACGAAAAGAAAGGACAAGTGTAACGCGAGAATTGCCAGAGTTACAAAAGGACACGTCGATTGATGGCAACGGAAAAATCCTACTCGGAAAATTGTACGTTGAGGGGGTTGTTGGAGGGGATGTTTCGCGGTCAAATGGTAGATAGAAGACGGGAGGGAGAGGCAGGCAGGACAAAGGAACGGGACGGAGGAAAAATGGAAGCGGGAGCATCGTCGTCCTCGTCGTAGTAGTCCTGGAGAGAGAAGTAAGCGGCAACGGGCGAGGAGGGGTAGTGTTCGTTCGGCCGGGCTGCTTCCGTGTATTCCGGGGGTGGTTTTGGTGCGCGCGCGCACCGGGGTTGCGCCGTGGTTTCATCTCAGTTTCGCAGCCTCCCTTCCGCGGTCCGCATCTACTCTGTCGTCTCTGGCACAGAGGTGTGTCGTTTTATCCGCGTTTGTACCTCATTGTACGCCTCGCCTTTGAGCTCGCCTCTCTCGATATCCGGTCGTCGTGCGTCATCGAGCGTTCCGTTCGAAGGACTTTCGAATCTCTCGTCGAGAGTCGATCGAGTCCCGGAATCGGAAAGGAGCAACCGGGGGTGTTGAGAGTTGCGGAGGAGTTGCGGGAACCGAGTGAGAACATCGCCTTTGACGCGTAACTTCTTTCGCGTTCGCCGTTATAAGCCCGGAGTATGTTACCGTGCGATAGGTGATCCAGCGACGACTGGCGGAACAATGGTGCGCGATGCGGAGGTCCCGACGCGTGTAACTTGGTAAGCGAACGTAGCTTTTTGCGTCGCAGTGCGTCTGTAGCTCGGAGCACACGTACAGACACACGTCTCTCGTGTTTGTTTCATTGGAAAGGCTGACGTACAGTGATCGATCGACGTTCGATCTTCGATCGCGAATATCGTATGTCTATTTGCTCTCGTTTGGAGGACGACACGCACGACAGATCAGTCATTGATTTTTAAACGTACACCGTTAATTGTTGGCTAGTTCTGCGCGACGGGGTTGGTGAATTCCTCGAGAATCGTTTTGTCGATTGTACCCTCGAGAGAATAGCGCATTCCCCACTTCTGGTCGCTGGTTAGGACGGCGGAGCAGCATCCTTTGAACCCTTGGACCGTCATTACGGGTAATGTACTTAATCGTCGGAAAATCGGCCCTTGGTAGGAAATGGTCGGTGCAGTTGCTGTTGCAGTTGAAAGCCGAAGTTGCAATATATGTTATATGTGCTGTAATATATAGAAAGCTTGTAGCATTGTACTGGAAATTAACGTGAGAGGACGTTGCAGAAATAAATACACTGCACATGCAAATTGCATCAAACTTGGGCTGGAAATCATTTTGTTGTCGAGTTTTTCAAACGAGTTTCCTCGCTGTCTGCGAACTACTTTGCTATTCAGTGACTGCTTTTTTTCCCCCCTTTCGGACAACTTTTCCTACGCTCTGTTGCGCCGTTGTTACGTCCATGCATAATCGTCGATCGATGAATATTGTTCACGTTAATTACCGAAATTTTTCGTTTTTCTTCCCTCAGAGATAGAGAGGGAGACACAGAGGGAGAGACGGAGAGAAGGACGAACTTGTCGAACAACGAAGCTGAAAACAATCGCGCAAACTGCGTCGCATTTCGTCACGTCGATTATTTTGGAAACTCGCTGATCAACGAGCAACATCCGTGCGGTAACGCTGATTTTTCACGTTACAAGGGATCGTTTATAGCGTGTCTCAGATACGCTGTGAATACAGGCGAGCCCATCGACGTTTCCCTTTTTCCCACGGCGCACAGTCGTTTATTAAACCAACGCCAATATCGATGCTTTTGATTTATGACGAGCCTTCTTCGGGCCTTCATATATTTCTGCCGAACGTTGTACTTCGTGTTGGTCCCTTCCATACGCGAGCTTCGGTCTTTCCGAATTCGCCACGCTCGTGGATTTCACCCAGACAAGCTGGCTGAAAGAAAAAGAGAGAAAGAGAGAGAGAGAGAGAGAGAGAGAGAGAAAGGACTTAATCCGCACGAGAGATCTGAATAATCTCGCAGTAACAAAACGATTAACGCGCATTGTTTGTGGAAAAATGCTCCGGTTGTTTGTCGAAAAATTCTCCACGGTTTCGCTCGTCGGCAAGGAATGCTTGCTAGATAAGTAGATTCTCGAAGCAACTATCTCTAGCTATTTCCTATGACGGAGAGATAATTACAATCACTTTGAACAGAGAAAAGTTAACGAGGTTATCGTGATCGCGATTACTTTCGCGTCCACGTTATTTTCCGTCGAATTTAACCGAACCAAAGTCAGTCACGCTCCACAATTAAACGATCACGCGTCGATGAATGCCTGATATCGAATCATTTCATACGGTCGACCGTTTTTACTTGATTTTCGAACGTTCGTTGTCTCGCAATTATCGATCGATCGAAGGGGAAGATAATCGAATTCGCGTGGCCAAAAGAGACGGTGCGGTGCGCGTCGACGAATTGAATGTCGTTTCTCCCATCGAAAGTAGGACGCAAGCAGTTGTACCAAAGACATGTAACTCGATAAACGAATAATTCTTCTGTGCAACAATGAATTGGAAACGGGGGATAGACGCGCCGAGTCAGCACGGTGTAAGAGGTACATGTATAATAGAATGTACGCGCTCTATGCAAGTTATTCCAGCTTTTTACTCCTTTGACCATGTTACTTGTCTCGCGTGCACGTTTAAGTTGATTTTCCATCCGATGGGAAGTCGCTCCGGTCAGAGGAACAAACAACTGCGCGTATCGAGCTGTTCGATTTGTAAGCTCGATTGCGCGTTTTATTCTAATATTTTCTTTCGTTTCGACGCACGTTGACTCGTAGCCGACGATTCTGAAATCAGTAGCAGAAACTGAGTATTAAAGTAAAAGTAAATATAAAAAAGTTCGTAACTACTTGTTTAAAATAAGAAAAGAGAAAAATTAAAAATAATTAAATGTCACGAGCGCAAGTTAGAAAAATCGAGGGAAAATTACTGAAAGTATCAGAGCTGAAGTAGCTGTTTCAATTATGTTTTGTATAATAATTTCACGCGATAGTTAATAATTCGACTATGGATATTGTACATATATCTATAAATATTAGTATAGAAACTTGTTAAATGCTACAAGTATCCTTTCTTAGATATTTCACATATTTCGTATATTCAGCATAGTTCTCTGTGCTTGAATTTTCCAAAAATTAGAAAGTATTAGAAAAGAGAATTTTTCTTAGAATTTCGTTAGCTGCAATTAGCTACAAATTTCGAAACGCGATTATGCTGCACACTCAGCTAGAGACTAAGAAGCAACATTGGGGTACACAGAACTACGTTACTAGCGAACACAGCCAAACACTTTAAAATGACACATACATACATAGGACTACGTTGTCGGCAGCGAATGTGTTAACCGTCTCGACGTGACTCGACTTTGCGTCGCATCTCACGAAGCGACACTGTCTCCTCTTACCATTTCTTTTTTTTTTTTTTTTTTTTATTATCCGAGGAATATAATTTTTTCACCGAACGACAAGTTGCAGCAGCGTTGATTGATCGGCTTCTCAGAACGATGCGACGCGGCTTTATTTATAACTTGGATGACCGTAGGAAAGTTGCGAAGTAGTTACAGCGGCAGCCCCGTGCCAATATCCCCGGGTCTAATGACTCTTGGAAATGAAATTTTGCTCGGCACACAAATACACATTTGTCTTCGTCAAATGGGAAGTTTCGCCTGGCAGGGTGCTTAGGTCGGGTGATATCGAATACAAACGAGCCGTGGGCAATACATTTTCGTAAGACCGATCGGTCTCGGTGTTCACTAACGGTGTCTGAGGCCCGGTCCAGCTCGGCCGGTGCCGCGCGTTGCGATAAATTTTCGCATGTTAATAGCGCACGGCTGGCGCACGCGTGGCGATTACCTTTGAATATTTCAACCGTTTATTTGCTGGCCGAATGGCTGACCCGAATAGAGAGAAAGAGAGAATGCAACTCGGGGTCGAATCGTTCACGGACCGATTTTCGAACGCGATCGACCGACGAATAATTGGAGCGTGCTTTTAAACGGACGACATTTTCCCCATTGTAAGAGCCTATGGAGATTTATGCTTGTCCTCTTCTTTTTTTTTTTTTTTGGCTGTACAATTCTTGAAATGCAAACGTCGGTAAAACAGAACGAAGTGGAATAATAGTGACGCCAATAGTAATAATGGCTTTACGCGCGGGGTGTGGGCTCGCATTGTGGTCGCACGGTACGTGTAACTGTTCCTCAGGAATTCCACAGGCTGCCTCTAACGGAGAATAACGGAGTCTCTATCTCGTTTCTCGGCTACTTCTCTTATTCTTCTTTCCCTCTGCTGTCTCGTTCCGTTCTCTTCTCGCTCCACCGAATTCATCTGCTCCCCCCCTCCCTTCCCCCCTCCCCGACGCTTTTCATAAATTAGTTGAATCAATTATGACTTCTACGCTCTCGTACCGACGCAAGGGCCGGACGCCTGAAGGAAATTAATCGTAGTGGTCGTTGAGAGAAAGGGTTGAAAAATACTGCAAGTCGATTCTCTTCTGTCGTACGATTGGCATCGAACTTATTAGTTGGAATTGTAGTTGTGTTGGGATATTATAGGGATAAGTGAAGCACTCGCAAGGAAAAAATTTATTCAGAAAATTACGAAACTTTAGGTATGTTATACGGTTAGGAAAAAGTTGTATAATTGATAAATTATTTTACTGTACGGTAGTTTTAGTTAAAAGCTTCTTTTCTGTTTCTTGCACAATTTGCAGGTAATAAAATCGTAAAATAGGAGAATCCTGAAGTTTCTAGTTTGATTCTACTTTATGTACACAATTTTCAACAATTAACGTGATCGTTCGACCGATGCTAATTGACTTTTTGCTTTCATGTGTCCACTGATCTAATGAACCAATCATCCGAGGAGCCAATCACTGTCGTCGCTCCACTTCGCAACAATACGTACAACGCCCTTTCGCGTGAAATTTCCAACAACTCCAAGCTTGTATATACCACTAATTTCTCTTGTATATACCACGTACTCGTTGGTACGTTCGAGGCGTGGCGCAAACAGACGCTGGTCAAGGAATTATCGAACACTTGCTTTGGAAGTAAGTTGGTGCCGGACGAAGGAAACAGGATCGAAAGGGTGGTTTTAGTGTTCGGCGAGCTGCACTCCGGCTCTCGAGAGGAGAGTGCTCCTTGACCTGCACTTTCTCTCTATTATCATTCGCCCCCCCCCCCCTCCTTCCCACCCCTCTCAAAGTGTAGCGGTACGTTTACGTTTCTCAAACGGGGTGCACTCGCGCTCCTTCTCAAAGGAGGATCGTTTCAAAGACAGATTTCTCTCGGATTAGACCAAGAATCGTCCAAGGAAGCAGGAAGCTCCGCCGAGTGGCGGAGAAACGAGAGCTTTCGACGGTGTAGAAGCATCTGTCGGATCGTCACCCGGTACAGTCAGCAGTTTGACTTAACTGGAGCAAGCGGCGCGGAAGCACCCCTTGACCCCTTCTAAACCACTTTCTCGCTGTACGATGATTTCCAGAGTGGTCGTCTCGTGTTTAACGTTCTCTCGTACGTTTCCTCTTGGTTCCGTTCTCCGTTCCACGCGGCTTCGTCCCCTCGTTCGTTCGTCGCGAGAGAAACGAGCGCGACACGTGAAAAAGACGATCACCCGAGAGACACTTTCGCTCTTCCCGTCCCGTTTCGCTTTCTCAAGTCGAGGAAGCCGCAGGAATTTCGAAATCAACCTCCGAACCT